TCACAGTGTACTTTATACAGACCTAAAATTAAATCTAATGCTACACCATCAGTAGGAAACACCAGTTAACAAAGCCAAAGAGAATCCTACATTGCCCCTATCTAAAACCACTAGATTATTTTAAATATACTCCGGCCGGATAAAGTGGAGGCACACAGAGTACTTGATCTCAAGGGGAGGTAGCAAGCAGGCTGTATCGCTCTCTGTTAGGTTGTGTGCAGAGCAGAAGGTTGGGGAAAAGCCACTTGCCAAGGCTCTGCACTCTAAGTGCCACCAGAGGAGCTGTAGGGGAGGGGAGACTGTGAAAGAAAATATAAGCGACATCAAATCAGGATGCAAAGAAGCAAGTTTTCGGGGCAGGGGGGAGGGAATTGCTTTTATTCAGGGGCAGATACTTTCCTCCTGCAGACCGTTGGGGCTACTGAGGGAGGAAGGTGCTTTTCCCAGGAGTGAGGGGATCAGAATCTGACCCTTAGTGTTCTGAATGCTGGTGTTTCAACACTTCCTGGGGCAGGTAAGGCAGGATGTTGGCATCAGCATGAAAGTTGCTTTGCAGACGTCTGTGGAAGGAATGAAGGGACTGCAGGTCCCTCCTTCAAAGCACTGAGGCCAAGATCCCACTGGGACTTTGGAGCCTAAATACCTTTGAGGGTCTGGGCCTCAGTTCCTCCTGGGAAGGGCTGAGTGTCCACCTGATTCAATGGAAGTTGAAGTTGCTTAACACCTGTGCGAGCCCCGTGTTCTGCCCTTACAGAAGGGACGGATCTGATGTTCGAATGGGTCTCTTCCATCTCTAACGTCTTTGCTGCTGCCCGGTAAACCCAATCGGAGGCTCTCCAGCAGGAGGGTAGTAATAAGGCATCACTAAGTAAGAGAGGGAGGTTTAACAATGAACTCGGGATTCAAAATGGCCCAGGCTCCGAACCTGAGATAGGTGGGGCTTTGTGCAGGTTGCAGGAGTCTTTCCACATAGATCGGCTTGCAGGATCGGGGCCCAAGACAGCAGAAGCAAAGCACTCGGGTTCCAGGGGTCTCCATCCTTCACAAAGTGGCACCTAGGCCCAGATCCTGAAAGGTATTACGGCTCCTAACTGCCATGGAAATCAATGAAATGTAGGAGCCTACATCCCTGGAAGAATGTGGTCCCTAGACACCCGTGTGAGCTCCTAAGCAGAACAGAATAGGAGGTGGATGCCAAGAAAAGAACATTTTTATTGTTGACATCAAAACACAACTGCACACTTTCGATGATGACACCCCAGTTCCAAAGCAAGTTATTGTCTCTTTGGAGCATTTACAATTCGAGTGACATGGTCCACGATGCATACTGGAAAGAGAGAAAAACATAAGATAAAAGTATGTGTATTTCTCTGTCCAATGTAAAACAGTATCTCAAGGGTCTTATTTTCTTGGGATTTTGGGTATGGGGAATGGCATGAGGAGGGCATTTTTGGTAGATGATGAGGGGTTGCAATCTTTTTGGTAGAGATGACTAAGGTCCCAGTTCATCAAAACACTTAAATGTACACATAACTTTAATACTGATTCAATGCGACTTAAGAATCTACTGAAATGCGTTGCTAAATAAGGATGGTCTTAGGTATGCACTTAAAGTTAAGCACATGCTGAAATATTTTGCTGAATATGGTCTTGGTTTTAAAGATGGCAAGTCCAATATATCTAGGATTTTCCCTTACATTTATACATTTTTAATAACAGCATTTTAAAGCTACAGGATAGGTGCTTTCCACAGATATGGAGAAATTTAAAAAAAATAATTAAAGGTATAAAAATAAAACTAATAGAAAAAATTCCTCTTCTAAATATAAAAATCTAGAAATTGTTATGAAATGAAAAACTAACAGTAGAAAAAGTTTGTGGGTACTAAACCATAAGGAGTACAATGTACAATAATGCACAAAAAATAAGGAAAGGAAAATCCTTTTTAAAACTGTTTTTCTGCTTTTGACTATTTTCAATATTAATATTTAGACCCTCAGATGGAAACCTGGGCCCCATTAAAATCAACGGGAGCTTTGCCATTGGCTATAATGGACCAGGATTTTGCCCTTAGTAGCTGGTAATTTCATTCTTTCTTAAATAAAGAGATGTCCATTAATTAATGCTAAACTATGACAGAAAACAACACATGACACTGACCAGAACATTCAATTAATTGTGATTGCTATTTACTAAAATGTCTTCGTCATTCATGATCTTAAGAGGACAATTAAAATAATTTAAAATATTATTGGGGAAATGAAGGCCAAAATACATTGTGGCTGCCTGTAAATATCATTGTCCATGTAAGGGCAAATGAACAGCAATTTTACTGGAGGTATGTCACCTCTATTTTGCTTAAATTAAACATTTTAAATATTTCTTAAACTAGTTCAATTAAGCTTCCTAATGGATCAGCATATACTTATTATTCCAGTATTTACCCACAGCCCCCCACAATGCTAGGCTTTACCAAGAACAATTACGGCCCATGGCTTTTCCATCTTTGCCAAGTACCCTGCAACCATCATACGTAAACAGACCCTGCAGATGTCTCAGGGCAAAATAAATGACTTCCGGATGGTAAGAAAAATAAATGAATTCATTCATTCATGCAAAAGTGAAGGGCACATTGTTTTCATCCTTAAAAAAACACAACACCCTATGTATCTTAAGGTATCAATGAACAACAAATTCATTCTATTATGACACAAGAAATCTAAAACAGACTAGACTGCAAAACAAATCCATTTTCTTTTCTCCATACTCAGATAAATGTTCTAATTTCTTATTAACTCGCCTGACAATATAATTTTTGAAAGTATCTTTATGGTCAATTAGAATTCAAACCACCCACAAACAATTTTTTCTGGTGCTTTAGCAGTTTAGTCTAACTTCTCAGATTAAGACGGTTTCCTTAGCTTTATCCTCCTCTGTAACAATGTGCGTACAATGCATCTTTAGAACGTATTTTAAGTCAGACCGCAGATGCAGATAATCTCTGTATTCCTGCACTAAAACAGAAAATGTGGTGCTCTTTGTAAAGGAAAGAGGAATAACTATTTAAACAAAAACCCAGCCTGTCATTTCCACTTTTCCTTTAAAAAAAAAATCAGACTAGAATATAGGCTTGGAAACGCTGACAGAAAGCTGAACTCTAACTGGAATCTAGCATTCAAAATCAGGCAGCAAACAAGGACTAATGGAATCCAGTGGTCTGGCTCACTCCCCTCCTATTGTAAAACCCACCCCAGGAACTGAAGGGGGAAGAAATCGCTGCATGATTTCCTCACATTGTTCTGCTAGGTGACAGAAGAGGCCATGGGCCCAACTCCCCCAAACCTGCATATCCCCTGAGATCCATGGTGACCCCCAGGGAATCAATAACCATTCACAGCCATCGCCTCAGCCACGTATCCATGGTGTCCCCACCCTTCTCCAGCAAAGGGATTCATGCTACCAGGGATTATTCCTAACGACATAATCTCCAGGATGCCGATCGGGGTGTCCCTAGCCCTACAGTGTGGGCTGTATTATATTTCCTGAGGAACCTCTGTAGGGCATAGGGTTAAGGGGGAGTGAGATGTGTGGTCCCCTCAGCCAGGGGTGGCTCTATGTTTTTTGCCACCCCAAGCACGGCAGTCAAGCGGCCTTCGGCAGCGGGTCTGCAGCGGTCCCTGGTCACGCGGATTCAGCGGCGTTTCTGCGGGTGATCTGCCAGTCCCACGGCTTTGGAGTACCCGGCGGCGAATTGCCGCCGAAACCGGGGACCTCCCGCAGGCACGCCGCCGAAGGCCACCTGCCTGCCGCCCCCACAGCGACCGGCAGGCCGCCCCCTGTGGCTTGCCGCCCCAGGCGCACGCTTGCTAGGCTGGTGCCTGGAGCCGCCCCTGCCCTCAGCCCTACCCATTCTCACCCCAAACCAGCTCTCTGTGGGGCCTGGGAGAACAGCGAATTGACTTCAATAGGGACTCATCGAGCGCACAGGCGAGCAGGATTTGGGCTCCCATTCAACAAACCACCCTCCTTTACCATAGCACTTACGCACATACTTCAAATGAAACAACTTGGCTGAACTGGTCCCTGGGTCCTGAGGGCCTGATCCTGAGAGGTGCTGAGCATCTGCAACTGTCACGGGAGTCAGGTCTCCCATATTTACACCCCCAGAAATGGACACATGTGAGCTGAAAAAAGTCGAATGACCAATTCTGCCACCCTCACTCACGCTCCTGACTCCAATGGAGCTATTTTCAGAGTCAGGCACTACTCAGCATGGAGAAAGGGTGAGGGAATTGGGCCTAGCAACAATAGACTCCATTCCATCTAGTTTTATACTGGTCAGTTCTTTGGAAGAATTAATAAAACAAGAATTCAAAGCTCAGCCCTACCACTTGGTCATCAAGGATTTATTTTATTCCATAGCTCACCAGTTAAGGGCCCGATCGTGCAAACACTTGGGGTCTGATCCTCATTTACACAAAGTGCCTTTTACACCACACTGGCAATGTAAATGGATGTTTGTACAGCACCCAACACTGTGCGGCCCCAATCCCGATTGGGGACTGAGGACACAATATTATTATCATGATTGATAACAATAATATATCAATTGCCAAGGACATGTAGAGGGGGCCTAAGTGTAAATCAGAATCTGGCCCTTACTATAGTCCCGTTGGACTACATTCAGTAGGGCTTTCAGATTTAGAACCTAATATAACAGGTCTTCATTATATATCCCTCTTTCATAAAGTTTGTTCTCTCACACACTTCCACACCCCCATATAACATTACACGCCACCCATTACTTCCAACCTATTATAATTCCCCATTGGACAACTTATCTTGAACCAAAAATGTAGCAGGTAGACAAAATTATGTTAAGATTTCCAATATATTTACCCCTGGTTAATTCTTTTAATCAAAGATTCCCCCACAAAAACCAGCAAAACATATTGATGCTGAAGCTGAAGGTAAATTTATATGTGAAAGACGCAATCTGTTTGTACCACATTAATTCAAATGGTTTTAATCAGGGAATGTCACAGTGAATTTATTTGGAAGGGAAACACTTAAAAGCAAAAATAACTTGGAAACATTAGCTGTGTTTGGAGGGAGTTGTCATTCCAGCCAAACAGAGTCAGAAATTAACATTTCTGCATTCTGCTAAGTGCAACAGACAGGAAACAATCAACAGGTACCATCATGAAACAATGTACAAAGCATGTCCGGTATTAATATTAGACTCCTACTACCACCAACTATTCTTAAATCGAAGGAACTCTTTAGGAAAACAAACCCAAACTATGCACCACAAATTAATTCAGATCACATCTTTAAATCCATTTCGAGCCAAGCCAGAAGTCCACCCCTTCCGTCAGCTGTTGACTTTCTAAGTGTCCCAGACAGCTGCATGTCTGTCTATAGCTCCCTCAAATGACTTGTCTTGCCCAGATTTCTTAAGACTGCTGACTTCTAATAGCACTCCCTGACAAAGGCTCCACTTTGAGGAGGAGATATGCTAGGCTGCCAGCCAGGATGCTGCAGAGTTCAGGGGCCAGGACCAGGCAGTGCAATCGTCCCTGACTGCCTCTTTAAAACCATGTCACGCTCATGTGACAACTGCTCCTCTGTGCTTGTTTGAACTGTCCCTCCCAATTAGTGGTAATAAGTGACTCTGTAAAGATGAGCAAACATAGTGCATTCATTAGCCCTCGCCAGCCCCCACCGCCCCCCTCCTTCCTGGCCAATCAGTCCCAGAAAATCCCCAGGGCACAACTCAGTTAATACTTGGAGGAAGCTAAACACATCTTGTTTGGAGTGAACAAGTGCTGGCAAAAGGCAAATTAATGACAAGTCATTTGAAGAGTTTGCCTGAAATTATTTTATTCTGTCCTCCCACTGAAGAATTGATTATTCTCTGCGTGAAAATATGTCTGAATCAATAAGCTAAAAGCTAAGAGAAAGGAAGGCATGCTCCAACCCCATTTATTTAATCCACTTTTTTTGAGGCATGTCACATAATTTACAGGGAAGAAATTACTAAGCCTTTTCAGAGCGAGAACTAATGACAAGTTCTGGGAAACCTGTGCGATCATCCATCTCCCGGGTAAACTGCAGGCCCGTGCATTCGCCGATCACTATCTCAGCTGTAGTGAAAACTTCCAAGTCACTTATAACATGCCCTCCGACAGTCTTCCCATCCTTATCAGACAGGCAGATGTGGAGATGAGGTGCTTTGTTCAGGGTTCCCACCAAGGAGACGATTTCAAACCTCTCATTTAGATGAATAATCTAACAACAATTAAAACAGAAGAACTGGATGTCAGTTGCCAATATGGTGTACATTGCTTTATTCACATTCCGGTATCAAGGACATCTCAATAGGCTGACACACATTCATTCTAGAATCTTAAGGAACAAAGGATTAAATTTTTCAAAAGCACCTAAATGACATGGGCCCCCAAGTCCCATGTTCAATAATGACTTAGGCACTTAGAGCCAGATTTTAAAAGGTATTTAGACACACAAAAATGCAAATAAGTGCCCAGTGGGATTTTCAAAAGTGCCTAGGCACCTAACTCCCATTGAAATCAATAGGAAATCAATGAGACTTTGGTGCCGAGGGTCCATATCCTCAAAGGAGTCAAGTGCTTAAATACTTTTGAGAATCGGGACCCTAGATGCTTTTGAAAATCCCACTAGGTGCCTATTTGCATCTTGAGCCATCTAAATACCTTAAAAAATCTGGCCCTTAAGAGCCCAAGTCCCATTGACTTTCAATCACCGATGTTACTTAGTTGCTTTTGAAAATTTTACCAAAAGGTCCTACATGTTCAAAACTGATTTGGTGTGCCTCACTTGAGACACTTAAAGGAGTCTAGTTTCCTGAGATGGCTGAGCACCCAGTCGCTCTGAGAATCAGGCCCCTTTAGAAGACCCCAAAGTGGACATCCAAAAATGGAGACACCTCAGTTTACTAGTCATTTTTGGAAAGGCGGGCCAGTATAGCTAACAGAAGCTCTACTTGTATATATTCAAACCATTTGAAATAACCACCCGAAAAAGAGTATTGAGAGTTACTTTGGGCCAGATTATCATAATGGGGAGACAATAGGTGAGTAACCATGCATTCAAATGGGTAGTGTGGTATACAGATATAGGGGTTTGTGAGTGCAACAGATATGTAAGCAATTTAGCAGGCACCGCTGTTGGCTTTGCTTAGAAAATACAGGTCTTCATGTTTCAGCTCCACTAGCAGTCAGGTAAGTCACCCCTGGGGAAGATGAATGACTGGGGGAATGTGTGAAGTGGTAGTGCTAGAGAGTAGCATAGTGTTTTAGAATTCTTTTTGTGGCAGCACTTATCATTGTAGGGGGAAATCACTAGAATGTTGGAATTCAGCTGCCAGACGTGGAGTGACATGGGAAAGCACCATAGTATCTTGTTTTCCTTTGACCTGCCGGCTTGACAAGTACTCGGACTCTTTGGATTACTCAAGCCTAGACCTGGCATAATTCCAGGTACGCGTTACAATTTGCAATCACAAAATGCCTTCGATACAAAGAATTCAAAGTGCCTCACAGACATCACTGAATTACTGGAAGCCTCCCAGCAACACGGGGAGGTGGGGAACCCCTGAGATTCCCATTTTACACCCAAGGAACCTGAGGGCCAGAGGGGTTCTAATTTATTTAAGATCACACAGGAAAGAGAGTGCCCAGGCCTCAGCTCCGCTTCTTAACAAGTCCATTCTTCCTCAGGGGTGTAGTCACCTCTTTGCCACTGGTCTGTCATTTCTGAGTGCTTTGGGGGATGGAAAGTGACAGGTGAGTAATCTGTGAGGTATCCCTTTGAAAATCTTCTGCATACTCCACAGAACCCTGAATTTTCTAGGACATTAAACCCTTTTGCCCTCCAGACTCTTTCTTGCAGCTGTCATTCATCTTTGAGGAGGGTGGATGGGAAACCTTTGGAAAACATCAATATCACTCTTTCATTGTCAAAAGGAATCAGAGTTGAAGGACAAAAGACACATTCCCTGCCCCAGGAGCGCCTGTGTAGCACTGCTAGTCATTCATGGCCAGGAGAGCCAAAGAGTGGGAATTATACCAGGTCTCCTGAATGGAAATGCAGAGAACTACCATTAAAATACCAACCTGGCGATCTTTAGCGTTCTTGTAAACAGCTTCTGTTGCAACTGTAACTTAGATGGGAACAAAGGAGCATTCCCAGCTTGTTCAAACACCAAGTTTTTAATCATTATTCACATATATTCTCTGTTTATCTTGTCAACAAAGGAACTTTTCAGCAACACGTGGAAGATGCTGTTCAACAAATGAGCACTCTTATGGGAAACTTGGGGTCTTGGAATAGTTTGTTGCCACTACATGGACATTATATACACGTGTGCATGCATACACCCACGTGCACACACAGCTCAAATTTTAGAAATGGACTAATGATTTTGGGTGCTTCTGCTTCTGAGTGCTCCACCTGAGACTCACCTCAAAGGGGTCTGATTTTTAACGGACTGATGCCCAGCACTTTCTGAAAATCAAGCCCCATTAATGGGCACCAAGTGGGGCCCCTCAAATACCGAGACACTCAAAATCACTAGCCACTTTTAAGTAGGCTTGTACATTTGTCTCTTCCAGTAGATGTATTGACAAAGGGGAAGCCCACATGACTCAGACCTAGCTTAGAAATAATGCACAATTGTTGTATAATCCCCAACTTTTACATTGATTTTTCCTTGGTTCCATATAGTGTAATACTCCCCCGGTGACACAGTCCTGGAGCAAATATGTTAGATTCAAGGAAAGGGTAAGCTCTCACTGATTTAAAAAAAAATACCAAACTCCCACCCACTGTGATCTCTCCTTTTATACAATAAACAGCAGGGAATTTATGTTTTTTAAAAAATCTAGAAAAAGTAGCATTTTTAATGATCAATTCTTGTTATTTTTTTATTATGAATAATAATATAAAGACACTTTGGGTTCTACTCCCTCTGCAAGGGTCTGTCTACCCCACAGTTAAAAACCCGCAGCTGGCCCGTGCCAGCTGAGTTAGGCTAGCGGGGCTCAGGCTAAGGGACTGATTAATTGCAGCGTAGATATTCAGGCTAGGGCTGGAGCCTGTGCTCAGGGACCCTCCCTCCTCGTGGGCTCCCACAACGCAGGCTCCAACCCAAGCTGACTCGGGCCGGCTGTGGGTTTTTAATTGCAGTGCGGACATATCCCAAGTGACCCACTGGGTAAGTCACTTCCCCTCTCTGTGCCTCCATGTTGCCTCCCGTTCTTTGTCTCTCTATTTAGACTGCAAACTCCCCAGGGCGGAGACTGTCTCTTCCGATGTGCTTGTACAGCCCCCAGCACAATGTGACCCTGATCTCAGTTGGGACCTCTAGCTACTGCGGGAATAATTACAATAATAACTTCAGACTCTCATTGACTTGAATGGACTTTGGGTCAGGGCCAAAAGTGAAAAAATGTGTATTGCCTAAGGCCCCATCTCAGGAAGCCAGCCAGTGGGTACTGTTGCCGAGGGCATTTCCTTTACCTTCGAGGAGCCAGAGGAACAGAAAGAGCCCATCCCATGCAGCCACTGCTGGTTGCAGGTTTTCTGGCCGGTACCTCTGTTCAGTGGCCCGACAGGACTTGGATCATAGCTCTGAAGGGAGAGCCCAGCAATCTCGGCCACGAAGACTCTCCCCCCTTCTACAAATACTAACTGGAAGACATTTTATTGTTGACATAAGCCCGTTAATGGACCCAGACACATGATCAAAATGTCTATTTATAGTTTAAGAAACATCCTTGAATATTGAACTAGGACCATCTAATTTACCTCAATGCTTAATTAAACACACAGCAATAAAGATAACACACTTACTGAGAAAATATGGTTGATGGGCTATGGCTAGACATAGAACAGAACAGATTTAGAGATCTGCTTGCCTCTCTGCACCGAGGGCCTGATCCTCAGCTACATCGACTTGAGTGGAGCGATGCCAGTTTACACCTGCTGAACATCTGGCCCTTAAACTTCGCCGTGAGTTAATCGGGAATGGAACACATCTCCAGGAAAGCTCTGTGCACACACCAATTTATGCATATGCATTGCTAAGACATCACTACATGTGTCAGGTACCTGATTAGTATTCGAAGCAGTGGCGTTGGCCAGTCTCAGCGTTGCTTTGGTGATGCTTCCCACACAAGTCATGACAAATGGAGCTTTTAGCTTCTTATCTTCTACAAATTTTAACAAAGAGGTGACGATGTCTTCCCCAGGCCCCAAACGGAGGGCATAAACAGAAAAGGCACTAGGTCCAGCCTGTGTAGAAGAGAAGTTTACAATGGTAATAGCTCGTACTTGACTTCCTTAATAAATCTATCCTTTATAGCCTAGTTTCAGTGGGTCAGCAGAGTATATCAGAATATGTTAGTAAATCCATTTTTATTGCATGGTCTTCGAGCAGCCCTCTTTCTGTGATATTCTCTCTCATTTTGAAGCAAGTGTTAATTGTATCTCCTAGAGGCTCCATGTGCTAGGCACTGTCCAGACACACTGTCCCTAAGAATTTACAGTCTAAATAGACAAGATAGTCAAAGGGAGGGAGAAAAAGAAGAACTGTTATCCCCACTTTGCAGACAGGAAACTGAGGCACAGAGAAATTAAGGGACTTGCCAGGGCAACAGAGTGAGTCCATGGAAAAACCAGGATTTGAACCAGATCTCCTGAGTGCCAGCCCAGTGCCTCAACCATAAAACCAACCTTCCTTTCAGAGATGCACCCAGTGATGCCTCATGTTTCTGGAGCTGTCCCTAGTTGCTGCTCATGGTTCTGCAGGCTGGGCAATATCCTCACACAGCTCATGGGGCCGCTGATAAATATCAGCTGGCTTCCAGTGTTGTGGCGCAGCGTCAGGAAAGTCAGGCACTGCGTGGCTTATCTCTCCGCCTCCCCCAGGAGATTTGCCTCTCCAGGTCTTGAAACAAAGTGGATGATTTTTGTGGCTGCATTTTGGACAGACTGAAAGGGGTTATGGAGAGTCCAGCAGGCTAGAGAGGAGGAAGCTGCCGTAGGAGATTATAATCAGACCCACAGGGGGAATGGAATCAACTGCCTACATAAGACTCAGCTTGGCAGACAAATAACGCACAGTGTCGGGGGGGGGGGGGGCAGCATCATGGTCAGTTTGCATATTCCTGGAGATACTGGTTGAGTTTGGCAAAGCCGACCTAGGAGATTTAGCCACCAAACTGCCACAGCAATGAATGAGCATTGCACAGCTAAATCCGCCAGTGGGCTTTGAAAATCTCAGTAATGGCCCTAAACCTTGGTTATGTAGTCCAGATTCCTTTGGTCTTAGGCCAAGATTGTGACTTGCCAGATGCCTGCACAAAGCAGTGACACCCCCATTTAAACCCTCGTGTGGGCTCAGGAGCGCCGCCAGCTTTTCTGCCGCCCTAGGTGGCGGAAGGTCCTGCCCCGAAATGCCGCCCCCCACAGAGGCGGTGGAAGGTCCCGCCACCGAAATACTGCAGCGGTCGCCGCCCCCCAAATTGTAGGGCCCTAGGCAACCGCCTAGGTTGCCTAATGGGTTGTGCTGGCCCTGTGTGGGCTACCTGAACCCGGCAATCAGATCAGATAGGAGTAAGTGGGACTACACGACTGCTTACTTCCACCCCAGAGCAGATGATCAGGGAGGGGCAGAGCCTCTGGTCAGCACAGGTGAGCCAGCAATGAGCATAGGTTGGTTCTGATATAGATCCGCAGCAAACTGCTACTCTCCCAGAGCAAGGAGGAGTGGGGAGAGAATTGCGGGTGTCGCTAGCAGAGCTGATCATTTTCATCTGAAACAGCTTTTAAAAAATGTTTAAAGGTTCTATAAGAAATTTCAATTTTTTTTACTAAATTGCAGGGGTGGGGGACATAGAAAAACATCAGCTAAAATTTTTTTGGACAGAAACAAAACTGTTTTTCTTTTCATTTATGTTTTTCACAAGAACAAAACATACCCAACTACCCCTGGTGTCTAGTCACAGCGCGACCCAGAGCGCAGCGTGTGCACTGGGCTGTATCTAATGGCACAATCTAGTCTTTTCATCTGATGTATTTTGCATGGTATAAGGAACAAGGAGCATGGAGGCCAGAGTCATAAAGTGAAAAATGGTGGGACTAGGGTAGTGATTTCTTTATTTATCTCCCTTCCATAGTAACAGGCACACATCCCCACATGTGGCAACAATGTAAGCTAGTTTTATTACTCAATAAAATATTTGAAACAAAATAAATGGTTTTATCCTACGCTATATCTCCTCAAATAATAATGTACCGACTTAAAAAGAAAACCATCCAACATTCATATTCTAGCCCTGAATTTTATTTTCAGTCCCACAGGATAGCAAACCAGGCATTTCAATTTTGAATTCGAATACAGTAACTATAGTTCTCGGAGGGTTTGAACAAATGCCAGCAAAACAAACCCCAAATCAAATTTATTAGCTGGTGGAGATCTCTAACAATTTTACACAGTGACTTGATAAAGCCATCTGGGGATTCCTTTCAACATTAAGTGATTTAGAGCCCCTACCGAAACTTCATTGTCTGTTATGATATATAAAGAGTTTCTCAATATCAAGTCATGTTAAAACGGCAGCAATTTAGTTGTTTGCTATTTTCAGTGTATATGTTTTGCTTTAATCTGGAAAGCTTCTCAGTCCCCCTGATATCTAGAGTCCTGCAGAGAACTATAAAGGGACAAAGTGAAAATTAACTAAGACTTGCAGCCTGTGGTTTTAAAGAGCTATCTAACGTTCGATTGCAAGCTCCAGACAATCCCTGGGAATCTGGGTACATTTGCAAAAAAGGAAACAGATCTGCCTCCCCGTTATGATTAGTTGTTAAATGCCAGCAATAGGTTCAGCACTATATAGGTCTGTTGCATCTTACGTGCATTTAACATGCGCAATTTCACCTTTACGCAGTCGGCAAAAACAAAAAAAAAAGAGAGAAAAATAACAATTTTAATACCGTACCTGTAGTGCGGGCAATTCCGTCCGCCATTCCACTCAATGTAATTTTGACTGTACGCGATTTTCGCTTTACGCGCTGACTGCGGAACGTAACCCCAGCGTAAGATGCGACAGACCTGTACAAAGCACAAAACTCTTAAAGAGAGACCCTGCCCCGCCTATGTATGTGGGCCAACGCCCAATAAATCAATTAGAGTCTTTCTGTTGCCATTCATCAGGTGTCGGAACAAGCCCCGTTTGTATCACGATGGTTTATGTTCCACCTTAATTGAAAAAACTGTTAATTTACAGTCAATGTGTTTGTATCTCCATATATTCAAGAACAATATGATTTGGAACTTTTTTTCTAAACTTGTCTCCTTTGTTAAAATAATTGGGAGGCGCAGCCCCGTTTCACGTTACAGGTAAGGATTAACATTTCAAGAAAGAAGATAGGAAATTTTGCATCTCCCCTACTTGAGAAGGATGGTCCTGTGGGTAGAACGCTACCCTGAGACTTGGTAGGCCTGGCATCAAGTCCCTACTCTATCACAGATTTCCTGGGTGACCTTTGATGTGGTCTCTCCGTTTCTCAGTTCTCCATCTGTAAAATGGGGATAACAGCACTTCCCTAATTCGCAGGGGTGTTGTATGGGTAAATATGTTAAAGATTGTGAGATGCTCAGACACTGTGCTGATGGGGGCCTAAAACATGTCATTACTGCAACCCACTAACCCCTTTTTTGTCCTATGACTGCAGAGGTGTTAACGGGCCACTTCTCCTTGAAAGTTTAGCATAAGGAGTTAACACAGGAGTTTTGAGAACTGGGGGTCGGGACCCCTCAGTGGGTCATGAGGTTATTACATGGGGGGATCGCTAGCTGACAGCCTCCACCCCAAACCCCGCTTTGCCTCCAGCATTTATAATGGTGTTAAATATATAAAAAGTGTTTTTAATGTATAAGGGGGGGTCACACTCAGAGGCTTGCTGTATGAAAGGGGTCACCAGTACAAAAGTCTGAGAAGCCCTGAGTTAACACATTCTGAGACCAATCTGTCCAACATGGTATTTACCTGCGACGCTCTGAGTACCTTTCCCAGAGAAGAGCTCCCTGTAGCTTGAAAGATTGTCCCTTTCACCAACAGAAGTTGGTCCAATAAAATATATTATTTCATCCACCTTGTCTCTGTAAAGGCATATCTACACTTGCCATTTAAAGCACAAAAAGTTCCTTTTTTGCGCAAAAACTGCGGGAGTGTCTACACTTGCCAATGACTTTTTGCAGTGAAACTCAGAAGAAACCACCTCCACAAGAGGCATACAGTTCTTACTGCTGATCCTTTTGCGGTGATGTGCAAGTGAAGACATGTTCTTCCTGTTTACAGAGATTTTAGCCTCCGGAGGATATCCCACAGTGCCACTCTGGCCAGCAGCTCTGCAGCTCTGACACCATGAACTTATCTAGTTCTTTTTTTAAACCCAGTTCTACTATTGGCCATCACTACATCCTATGGCAAGGAGTTCCACGGGTTAATTGTGCACTGTGTGAAAAAGTACTTCCTCTTGTTTGTATTCAAGAAGCTGCTTATTAATCTCATCAGGTGACTTCTGGTTTTTATTTTGTGGGAAAGGCTACCGAAGACAGATAGTTTTATCTTCAAACAATGCTAACAAAACTGTAAAGCTATTAAAAATGGAAACAATTTAAAAACCTGGGATGTTCTAAATATGTACTAGGAATATGACAACTAATCTGTGATCCCTGTATTAATACCTACAGCGTGTGCATATTCCTATGACTTTAAAAAAGCAGAATAGCAAACATTTAAATGGCAATCAGCACAGGGCAGTGGCCATTTAACTTAGGGTATGTCTACACTGGCAGAGTTACAGTGCGGGCAGTTACAACGCCGCTCAGAGAGCGCTGAAGGGAAACCGCTGTTGCGTGTTCACACTGTCAGCCGCCTGCGCAATAGTATGATCACACTTGCAGCGCTATTCGGAGCGGTGCACTCTGGGCAGCTATCCCACAGAGCATCTCTTCCTCTTCTGCCGCTAAGAGTTGTGGGAAGGCGGAAGGGGTCATGGGGTATCCTGGGTCCTGTCCCAATGCCCTGTGATGCATTGCTTCGCATCCCAGCAATCCCTGTGCTTCCGTCCGCATTTGGCACCATCTTTCAATGGTTTGTGTACTGCGCGCTCTGCCTCTTTGGCTTTGCACAAATGGGTTTCCCTAACTGCAGAGAGGCAATAGATGGCATGCATATTCCGATTCTGGCACCAGACGACCTAGCCACCGAGTACTTTAATCGGAAGGGGTATTTCTCAATGGTTCTCCAGGCGCTTGTGGATCACCGTGGGTGTTTCACAGACATTAACGCAGGCTGGTCCGGAAAGGTGCATGATGCACGCATCTTTCGTAACACTGGCCTGTTCAGGAAGCTGCAAGCAGGGACTTTCTTCCCGGACCAGAAGATCACCATAGGGGAAGTCGAAATACCCATTGTGATCCTGGGAGACCCCGCCTACCCCTTAATACCGTGGCTTATGAAGCCATACACGGGGCACCTTGACAGCAGCAAGGAGCAGTTCAACAACAGGCTGAGCAAGTGCAGAGTGACTGTTGAGTGTGCTTTTGGCCATTTAAAGGTCCGCTGGCGCTGCCTATATGGGAAGCTAGACCTGGCCAATGACAATATTTCTATGCTTATAGCTGCATGCTGTGTGCACCATAATATTTATGAGGGGAAGGGTGAAAGCTTCACTCAGGTCTGAACCACTGAGGCTCAGTGCCTGTAGGCTGAATTTGAACAGCCAGAGACCAGGGTTATTAGAGGGGCACAGTACAGAGCCATAAGGATTGGGGATGCCTTGAGGCAGCAATTTGAAGCTGAAAGCCACTAACATTTGTTGCTATGCTCGTTAGTGCAGTACTTGTAATGCTAGGAGGTGATTGTGATTGGTGTAGACGATGCAACATGAAGGTTTAAGATAATTGTCTGTTGCTTTGCAGGGCACTGTTTGCTTTCAATTAATAGAATAAAGATTGCTTCCAAACCAACACAATTCTTTTATTAAAAAACAACAACTGGAGGAGAGAGACAAACAAAAAAAACACATCAGCACTGAGGGGGATGGGGGAAGGGAAGGTCTCAGGAGGAGGTGGAGTCCCAGGATGGTTAAAGATTTGTGTATGTCCAGGGCTCCAAGCTTCTCCTTTGGAGTACAGTGCAACGGATACTGTACTTCAGCAGGGCTAAACCGCAGAGGGACGGATGTTGAGTGCAGTGGGTACTGGGAGTCCGCAGTGCTGGACTGTAACGGCGGAGGAGTGAAATGCAGCAGGTATAGACTGGAGCCAGGAGATTGATAAGAGTGTGTTGGCGGTGTCGGGGGGGGCGCATGGGACAGAGCTTTGCAACAGAGGCTGCAGGGGAGGATGGGCATGGCGCTGCTCGGTTTGCAGAGCTAGTATCGCCTGAAGCGTGTCTGCTTGGCGCTCCATAACCTTTAAGAGCTGCTTCGTGGCTTCATTCTGGTGTGCCGCATTCTCCTTTCGGTCCCTCTTCTTGCTGTCCCACCACTCCTTCAATTCCTGTTTCTCGGCAGCAGAGTGCATCATAACGTCACGCAGAACGTCCTCCTTAGTTCTTCGTGGCCGCTTTCTAATTCTGCACAGCCATTCAGCTGGTGATAAAGTGGGAGGCTGGGCTCCCAAGGTCATCTCTGTGAAGCCAAAATGCAACATTTTACAGAAGCAGTAGTGTTTGCAACACACAGACCACTGATTCAGGGATTTAAAACACAGCCAGTACTCTCATACCTGTCGCTAACTGGCTGACCCCAGGCAAGCACACATGAGCCACAAGGCCCCCAACATGGTGAGTAGCCACAGGGGCAGGGGAAATCAGTGTTCCAGGACTCTTGGGGAGAGCCCAGTACTGTAGGGGGAGGCTGATAATCATTCCTGTCCCCACACTTTCCACAGGCAGTGTTCATTATGGAAGATCTCTCGCTGCTGAGGGTGAGCAGGGAATCAAGGGAGGGTCTTCTCCAAGCCTGCGGCTTCCGCCTTGGCCCCTATGCAGCTCGCCTGTGTGCAGCAATGGTCGTCCCCCCCCCGTGATGGCAAAGTGGTGCAGGAAAGTTACCCTTAATGGGGCAAGAAACAAAGCTGCTCTGCCAAAGAACCCGCAGCAGCGGATTGCCCAGTATCTCCATGAGAGTTTCCTGGAGATCTCTGAGGCAGATTCCCGTGAAGTGAGGGAGTCAATCAACAGCCGGTTCCGTTGCTCAGACTAGGCATGTGGTGGGACACAAGCCTGCTTTCTGCAACCCTCCTGCCCCCAACAACTCACTTCAGTGATTCCCAAAATCAAATCCACTTACCAGGGGCCTCCTCTCCTGTTTGCGCTTTGCCAAGATCTGACAGTTGTGACTGGCTAGCCTCCTCTGGGGTAGAAAAGAGCTCCTGGCTGCATGCATCTCTGACCTCCGAGTCATCCTCTGCCTCTGGGTCCCCCTCCCCTTCCCACTCCCCCTCCACATCCTCCTCCAAGATTTCCTCCTCCTGGCTCGGTCCACTCTTGACTGGCACGCGAGCCACCCAAGTATCCACAGTGGCCTTTGCAGTGGAGATGTGGTCACCACCGAGTATCGTGTCCAGCTCTTTGTAAAACCGGCAGCTCGTGGGCGCTGCACCGGAGCGGCGGTTTGCCTCCCGTGCCTTGTGGTAGGCATTCCGCAGCTCCTTCACTTTGACCCTGCACTGCCGTGTGTCCTGTTCGTGGCCCCTTTCTGTCATGCCTCGTGAAATCTGTCTGTAGGTGTCATAATTCCTACAGCTGGAGCGCAGCTGGGACTGGACGGCCTCCTCTCCCCAAATGCTGATGAGCTCCAGCAGCTCGGCATTGCTCCAAGCTGGGGATCACCTGGTGCGTGGAGCAGGCCTGGCCACCTGGAAAGATGTGCTGAGACCACTGCACGCGTCACCAAGCAAACAGTAAAGGGACTTTCAAAATTCTAAAGGAATGTACGGGGTGAGGC